TACCCTCTTAATGAGGAGCTGTTGACAGATGCTCCCAATATAAATGAGGCTGCCACACAACTTATCAAGTTTCATGGAAGTTATCAACAGTATAATAGGGATGAGCGTGGTGCCAGGTCGTATTCGTTTATGCTTCGGACTAAGAATCCTTGTGGAAAAGTCTCAAACAAACTTTACTTGACCATGGATGATCTTGCTGATCAGTTTGGAATTGGGACACTTCGGTTGACTACAAGACAAACATTTCAGCTCCATGGTGTTCTGAAGAAGGACCTTAAGACAGTGATGAGCAGTATTATTAGGAGCATGGGTTCAACTCTTGGTGCTTGTGGTGATCTCAACAGAAATGTTCTTGCTCCTGCAGCCCCAATTGCGAGAAAAGATTATCTCTTTGCTCAGGAAACAGCAGAAAATATTGCTGCACTTCTAACCCCTCAGTCAGGGTTCTACTATGATATGTGGGTGGATGGGGAGAGAATCATGACAGCAGAACCTCCAGAAGTAGTGAAGGCTCGCAATGATAATACTCATGGAACAAATTTCCCTGATTCACCTGAGCCCATTTATGGAACTCAGTTCTTGCCAAGGAAGTTCAAAATTGCTGTAACTGTTCCAGGAGATAACTCGGTGGATATTCTCACAAATGACATTGGTGTTGTTGTTGTTACTGATGAGAATGGAGAGCCTCAGGGATTCAACATATACGTAAGAAAATCATGCAATCTTAATTGTTATCTCTTTGCTCTTGGCATGAGTAGTTTTTTGTCTTACAATCTTCTTTTTCTCCAATATTTTATTTTCAGGTTGGTGGTGGTATGGGAAGGACACATAGGTTGGAGACAACATTTCCCCGTTTGGGAGAACCTTTGGGTTATGTCCCAAAAGAGGACATTTTATATGCCGTTAAAGCCATAGTTGTTACACAACGAGATAATGGGAGAAGAGATGACCGCAAATATAGTAGGATGAAATATTTGATAAACTCCTGGGGAATAGAAAAGTTTAGAAGTGTAGTTGAGCAATATTATGGAAAGAAATTTGAGCCTTTCCGTGAGTTGCCTGAGTGGGAATTTAAGAGTTACTTGGGTTGGCATGAACAGGTTTGTCTTACTAATTAGAGATATTCTACACAATCTCTCTTTGGCTTACGACCTTAACTTCATAAATTGATTCCTGTTAGGCTGTTTTCTTTCAAATTGCTCTACTTGTGTTATTTTCTTCAAGTCTAATGTTTGCCTTTTCATATAATCCATTTCCTTTGAATCTTTTGGCAGGGAGATGGTGGTTTATATTGTGGGCTCCATGTAGATAATGGCCGAATTGGAGGGAAAATGAAAAAGACACTCAGAGAAGTAATAGAAAAGTATAATCTGAATGTGTGTATCACCCCAAACCAGAACCTTCTCCTCTGTGACATTCGCAGTGCATGGAAGCGTCCCATTACCACAGTTCTTGCACAGGCTGGTCTGCTGGTAAGGCTTATGTTTGATGCGGAAGTCTACGTTTTCCTTAGGCCTGCACTCTACAATTTGTAGAAAGAGGAGATCTTAGAATTAGATTTAATTCAATTGGTTGGATTGCCAGGAATGTTTTCGTTACCAGTTCTGTTGAGAATGATTATTGATAACAGATAATCCCAATTCTAAATAAATAAAAATAGATAGTAGCAGTGGAGTTTTGGTGGAATGAAATATTAAATATCTTGAGACTTCCAAGGCTTACTAGTTCAAGTGTTAGAAGACATCATTAGAAGTGTACACATCTTCCTACTGTAGATTATTAGTAACTTTTCTGGATATGCAAGATCCCTGTTGCTCCTGTATAGCTCACTTATCACCAGAAGGTGGATTAGGTGTATGCTAGATCATTATAATCATTCCACCTATTCAATCAAAATTGCAAGAGTTATAGCGTCTACAGTCTAACAATAAGTCTTTCTTGAATTTCATTCGCAAATCATGTGTTTTCCGTAGAATTTCTTCAATTTCTTACAATTTTTTGTAACTACATCCCCAGGAGTTAATTGTAATGTTTATTCACTTATGTCTTGTTTGCTTCGTGTTATTAATTGTATCCCCCTTCATTGTTTTTCTAGTTTTACACCCCATCTAACAAGTTTTGGTTGTAACCAGCATCCTAGATATGTGGATCCCCTAAACATCACTGCGATGGCTTGCCCGGCTTTGCCACTCTGCCCACTAGCCATAACTGAAGCTGAACGTGGAATACCTGGACTCCTTAAACGTGTTCGAGCTGTATTTGAGAAGGTATCTTACTGAATACTTGAACTTAAGTTTGATTAAAAAAAAAAGAACACATGGATGTAAAAATCAACAAAGAATTTGTTTAGGTTGGAAGTTGGATTTTGTGTGATTCGGGAATGGAACTGGTGACTAACAGGTAAACCCTCCATGGTTTCAGGTTGGTCTCAAGTACAGTGAATCTGTGGTAATAAGGGTGACTGGATGCCCTAATGGTTGTTCTAGACCATACATGGCTGAACTTGGACTGGTTGGTGATGGTCCCAACAGCTATCAGGTACTGCAAGCACTGCTTTAATCTGTTTCTGTTTGCATATAGCAGTATAACAACAATGTCATTCCTCTTCCATTGAAATTAGATTTGGCTCGGGGGAAGACCCAATCAAACCCAACTTGCAAGAAGTTTTATGGATAAAGTCAAGGTTCAGGACCTTGAAAAAGTTTTGGAACCCTTGTTTTATTACTGGAAACGAAAAAGACAATCCAAAGAGTCATTTGGTGATTTCACAACCCGCATGGTAAGAGCTCAAACAGCTAACTGGTTCCCATTTATGATAACACTGATGTCTTAGCAATTGATGGAGCTTGGGTTTGTCTGTTAGGGATTTGAGAAACTAAAGGAGTTGGTGGAAAAATGGGAAGGTCTAGTAACAAAACCACCAAGGTACAACCTGCAACTTTTTGCCGATAAAGAAACATATGAAGCCATGGATGAATTTGCAAAGTTGCAGAACAAGAGTGCTCATCAACTGGCAATAGAAGTCATTCGCACTTTTGTTGCCACACAGCAAAATGGGAAGGTTGAATGAACTATCAGTATCTAACTCATTTAAAATCTTGTAGAGGGATTGTCTGTCCCTCCCTCCCTCCCTCTATCTCTACAGGCTGTTAAGATTCAATAACATCTGGAACAGATGAATTTTGATAAGAGTTTGTAGCTTATTTCAGTGTTGTTCGCTTTTACAGGATCTGGATTCTGTAAAAATAAATTTGAGCTCTTCTGTTCTACAAGAATCGAGCTTTACATATTGTGATTTAAGTTGGAATTTTTCGTATACTGTTTAACAATCTAGATGGAATTTTTAACAGAATGTAACTGGGATTTTGCAATAGAAACATAAGTTCGTACAAGTTTTACATGAACCACGGATCAATGAAACATAAATTAAGGACATTCAGATTTTCTCACTTGTGACAGATACGAGCTGTAGGCATTGTGACACATATAGGACCGTACTTCTTCTTAGCTTCAGGGGTGCCAGCCTTTGGCTCCTCACCAGCCATGGCAACTTTGGCAATGGAACAGGCAGCAGCAGCTGCAGCTGCAAAGAACAACTCCCTCCTTCCACTGCTCTCTTCCTTCTTCATCTCAACATTCTTCACTTCCAAGCTGGCCTTCTCACTTTGAGCCCTGACCACAACAAGCCCTCGGCGAGCAGTTGTGGAAGGAAGCTTGGTAAGAGCCGAGCTCGAGGTTGGTAGGAGTGAGGCTGTCATGGTCATCGAAGCCATTTCTGCAATCTCGGCAACTATGCTCCTTGCTGCAAGTTCTCTGTCTCAGAGTCCCACAAATTGGAGTAGAAGAGGAAATAACAGAAGAAAAAGGTTTGTTTAGGACTTGGGGAGCCTTCATCCATTTCCTTATCCCGTGAGATGTTCTGACAAATGAGTCGTTGCCACGTTGGCCTTGCTTTTATCTTCATCAGAAAATGTGGCTGTGGGAACTCCTAACAAGTGGTTGGGGTCAAGGACACTGTTGATTTCACATTTCAGACTAAAATGATATCTGATATAGAGATTTAAAATTAGTTATTTAAAAAAATATATTTAACCAATAAACAGGAGCATTTAGCACCTGATTTGATTTTCACGGCCTCATAGCTATATATCTATACACATTTAGCCTTAAAATTGGAGTTCAAATCCCCCCTTTATAAATTGTAATATGTTCAAAAACACATAAATAAATAAGAATATTTAAGATATAAATATCAAATATTTCATCTAATTAATAAAGATCAAAATTAAAGATTTTATTCATCTTATTAAAACTTATGATATTATATGTATTAGTTAATTTAATGATGTAATTTCATTAACTCTAAATTTTCATTCAAAAAATTTCCCCTTCCTATCATTACTAGTATAATTCGAAGTTTGGGAAGCTCATAGGAGTTTGATCAAATGCAATAGAAATTGGATAGGGGAGGAGAGCAGGTAACAACAAATACTAGGAAAATTCTTCATGAAATAAGAATCCATGTTTATCCGAAAAATAACAAGCTGATTAACAATAAAGTACTAAATATCTCATAGAGAGTAAGAGGAGAACATTTCATTGTCCACTTTCTTGACAACCTAAAAATCAATTCTCATGAAATAAAAATCCATTAAGCAGTTGCATTCTCCACATCCTCTAAAACAAGGGCTGCTTTTGTAGGCTTTCCCAACAGATCCCAGTACTCCTGGTAAGGAGACTTGGAAAAGCGGGTTTCCCTCCAAAAATCAGGAGTCAAGAATCCATAAGTTTTCAGGAGACAGTCAAAGGTGGCCTGCATTCAAAATAGCAAGAGAAACAGCAGATGATCAGGTACCCCAGATGAACAATTCACACTGCATATGACACAAAAAGCTATCCAGCAAGAAAGCATGCTAAATTTCAAACAAACAAGAATAAAAGAAAAACATTGTGTGAATTGCCAAGCCAGAAATATGTCATCATTCCTAGAAAGACAATACCTACACCAACAAGAACAGACACAATTAGAGCTGATAAAAGAAAGCAGCAAAAGCTTTCAAGATTAAAGCAACAAAAGCTTTCAAGATTGCTCTCCAAAGTCCATACAGGAGGTGAGTGCATCTCACCAGAAAATAAGCACAAACAACCAAAGAATTTGCATGCTTAGGATCAAAACTTTCAGTTAGGCTGAACAAAAGATCAAAACTTTCAATAAAACATCCCATAATAAAACTAACTAGAATTCCTACCATGGATATGTAAAAGAAAACAAGAATTATAAGCATTGCATTAGTCCAAACTGCATAATCTTCCATAATCTACAAAGACAGAGCAATAAACTTCCATACCTTGACAAAGTTACCAAGGGTCTTGGTAGATCCCCTGGAAGAAGTGAAGACATCCTCAATCCCAGCAAACTGAAGCACCTTCTTGGGCACTCTAGCCGCCACAATCCCCGCACCTCTAGGAGCTGGCACCATCCTCACTGTAACTGACCCACACTTCCCTGTAACCTTACAGGGCACCGTATGAGGCTTCCCGATCTTGTTCCCCCAGTACCCTCTCCTCACAGGGATCACGGACAATTTCGCCAAGATAATCGACCCACGAATAGCGGTGGCAACCTCTTTGCTACACTTAACGCCCAGACCGACGTGGCCGTTACCGTCACCGACGACCACAAAGGCCTTGAAGCGCGTGCGCTGGCCAGCACGAGTCTGCTTCTGGACAGGAGTAATCTTCATGACCTCATCTTTCAAGGAGGGGCCTACGAGGAGATCAACAATTTGATGCTCCTTGATGGGGAGGGAATGGAGATAGATTTGCTCCAAAGAAGTGATTTTTCCAGCTTTTACCAAGCGCCCAAGCTTTGTAACCGGCACCCATTTTTCCTCCTCTTCTTTACGACCGCCGCGGCGGCGACCTCTGCCACGGTCAGACCTTCCGCCACCACCAAAACCCCGGCGGAATGCACCTCGCTCTCCTCCTCTTTCTGCCATCTCGAGCCTTAGAAGTTCTACGAGAAGAGAGGTGCAGAGATTTTATTTGTAGGAGGCAATAGAGAAGAAAGAAAAGGCGGCGGGCGTAGGTTTATAAACTCCGAAGAAGAGAAGATTAGGGTTTTTGGAGGGTTAGAGGCTGGGTGGCGATAATTGGATTTGGGCCAAGAAAGTTGCCATGATCCATGTATTATGATTGTTTTGATTTTTGAATTTTGATCCATCCTCAAGAAACTGGGCTGCATCCGAAAGCCTACTATGAGGCTTTATTGGGGTTCAATGAGTCCCGAAGTCATGTTTAATTGGGCCAAGCCTAATGCATTCGATCCATATTTCAGAAAAACAAAAGTTTGATTTGTTAAGCTTTGGGATTAAGATTTGTAGAATATCTTAATGAAAAAGCATTTTATAATTTGAACTAGATTACAAAATATGAATCTTTTGATTTGGGATGGGCCACTTATATTGGGAATAGAATATCTTAATAAAAAAAATATTTTATGATTCAATACAGTTTAAATTGTAAAAATAATATTAATTTTCTAAAGAAAAGTGAACTTGTTAAGTAAAATATGTTATTTTGATTTGGAGAACAACTAGCAGACTCTCTCATCGTAAACAAATTAACAATATTGACCTTGAGGAGGGTATCCTTTTTTTAGTTGAAACAAGTTTAAGATTGTGCAGAGCTATTTCTCCATACAGACAAACAAGAATCTTGACAGGCTAAAAAACAAAACATATTAATTAAGTTGAAGTATCCACTTCTAGATTAATTGAGCAATTTTTAATGCATTATTAGATTCTCTTCAAAGTTCAACCAAATAGCCTTTTTTTTTTTCAATCGAAGGTTAATAGTTGCTTGGTATTGTCTGAGTTTTAATTCAAACATTAAACAACTTAAGGTTAAGTGATAATCTTTCTTTTAAATAATGGAAGAGATTTTTAATTTGAATCATATTATATATCAAAAAAATTAGTTGAGATATTAGAGAAGATTGTTTTTTCTTTTTATTTTACAACCTCTAATGAAAAAAACTACTAATTTAATTAAATTGTTGTTAATATTCAACCAAAAAAAGTTAAGAATTAAATACTTATCACGAAAATACATTCAAAATCTTGTATGGCAATATCATTTTTTTTTTAAAACAAATTGTTAAGGGCGGGCTTCCATGAGAAAGGAGGAATGCACTTTAAATTGACAGACTGTTAGTTGACTCGAAAGGTCAAGTACGTATGACAATATCACTATATGAGAGATATATTGTGATTTGAGAGGTTTCAAAATTTGAAATCGTCGTCTAAATTATTTATTGAATACATAATATGTAATATTAAAAAACAGAGAAAATTTCATTAAAAAAAAAGGCAGAGAAAATTAATGCGTGGTGAATTGAAATAAGAAATTAACCTAATGGTGTTGTTGAAGTACATAAACTAATACAATATTTGAATTTAGTTCATCGA